TAATAACATGATGTGGATATGTGCGCGGGACCGATTCTATACTATTAGCCTGGCATTCAAATACTCCTTTTGAACTTACTTACTAAGTGTTTGGGTTGACGCAGTTGTATATCCATACACTTAATTTAATTCAAGTGCTTATTGTTTAGGGTAAACTGTAAAAATTTACAGTTCTAGCTCTTATAATTAAATCTCTACAAATGCGTTTCTGCAGTAGCCAAGTGTTACTAAAGTATATAAATATGCAAACAAATGGGTAAGAATTACTTCACGTAGGTTAATATCGCAAACGGCATCACTACAGCGTTATAGAGAACACTGAAAAACTATTTAGAATACAATTCAGTACTATGGTAATAGATCATTACCTATCAAAACGGCTGTAAAGTCCAGCCCTGTGTGGGTGTCTGAAAAAAAATCGCATGGCAGGATTAAAAGTATCAATAAAATAGAATTCCTGTCCATAGCAAAAACCATTTTTTCTTACAGCACAGAGTTGGACTGTTTCAAGTTTGTCAATTATATTCTACCTGTTTGTGAAGAAAATACTTTTCTTTTCGACCCTACCGATTCTTTTTGAAAATATAATCTAATTTTTAGTAGATTGCTCGATCTAGTATCACCATAAAATAATCGTACATTCCATCAATTAAATCTTTGCTTTTATTAATAGTCCGTATTTAATCAATCTCTGTAATCAATACGATTGACCTCATATCTAATCAATACTTGCCCAATAAATCTTGATAAGTTAGGTACTCTTTCTAATAGCTAGCTCTTAGGACGAAACGATGTACGTCCATGCCCGATTTTGAAGCCAGAAAATCACGCTGCTGCACCATCTGGATCCAAACAGATCTAGATTGCACATTCTCGATTAATGCAACGAGCTTTTTTAAACTAGGCATTTAAACTTAAGATGAACAAATGACTTAGTTCGTATTCTGAAGACACTTATCGTGTTTCCTTGATATCGATGTGCAGGCATCTGTCAGCGCGGCTGCGTGTTGTTAGGTACCGTGAGAGGTGTTGAGAGACGTTTTGTCTGCAATGTTCGCCTAAAACATGAGACACTCAAACTTCTCATTTTTCTGTCAATCATTCGTCACAGTTCAAGTTGTTTCCTCTTCTCCTTTCGAAAATGTCTTCAATCAGTCTTCGTTGGCTTCAAATGGCCAACTGGGGCGGGATGCATCGTTTAGCTCCAAGTAGGATAAAAAAAAAAAGTCGAAGTTGTACTTTACCGGAATCTCTAAGTTTGGAGCCCAAACTCCTTATAAAATTCCCTCCACTGTACAATGAAATTAAAATGGATCTTGAAGGAGGGAGAGTACTTTGAGTGGTAGTTAGAAGTAAACAAGCACTAAAAGACGTAAAAAAAATTTGAAAAACATACTGAACATACTTGTGTACCAACCGAATACTTCGGTAGCATGATAAACGAAAAGATCACTTTGATGCTTTGAAATGCGTTCCTAAGTGAGCTTTTACTAGTATAGAAAAGAGCGCAAGGCTATATAAGTCAAAGTTTACTGAATGTTGTAGATAAAAGCATCCGGTGCCACGAAAGAAGAAAATATAGCGGTATATTATTTAAAGACCCTTCTATTACACGGCCTCAACGCAATTTATTCATTTTGGAGAAAACATTAGCTGGGAACACCTATCTCGTAAGCCCATATGCCCTGCAAAATAGGATTATATGGAAGAGGTGGGGCAATATTGTGTACCACTCTCGAAAACCAACTTGGCCGCGTTAAAACCTGGACAACTATCGTCACTATGCATGCTGGTTTAAGTTGGTATCCGTAGTGAATGCTAAGATCATGATTATCCGCAGTGTGTATATGTAGATTTCGTTCGGGCGATGCGTTACGCCAATGAAGCAGTTAAAATTTTTTTAAAAACAACTACGTGTGACACATTGTCGACACATGCAGCTGCACGATAACAAGAATGTGGTATTTTAGTTTTCCTTGGCATATATGCACACATACGCACTTCTATTAAACTGAGCTGTACTCTGAGGCACGGATTTCGTTCAATTTCTCTGCAATTAGCATCGAGGACAACCGGTTTTGTATATGCTCGAAATGCAAAGCCCCATATAGATGATGTGAAACAATAATTTTTATTAAATATAATTGCCTTCCAGTTTCCTTTTGAATTGGCAGCTGCGGGACAGGTAAATCGTAGTAATAGAAACAGGGTAGTTATCGTGGTTCTTTATTTTTCAATGAGACTTGATGAAAATGCAAAACGATACTGGGAACACAATCAGCCTAGCATTTTTACTCCAAGGCCGCCAGTGTGGGAACGATACTCATTTCGAATCGGCACAGAAACAAGGAGATAACTGGGCCTCAAAGGTCTAAGTTCGAAGAGACCGGACTTAAAGGACGGTATGTAACTGACGGACTGATGAACTTAGATCGGATGTCTCTTGTAAAATAGAAGCAGGGGGAAGAAGCAAGTCCTATCTCTGAAAGAACGTTACATTAACCAAATTACAAAATTGTGCTAATGATCGTATAAGGGTTCAGTTTAACGTTTGCTGTCTCAGATAATAAAATCGCCTCAGCCATGTGAGGCTGACGTTTTATGTTATTAAATCATGTCAAATGAGATTGGTATATTAAAATTGCCAGCAAAAAATAATTCGGGTGAGCTTTGTCGCTATCGTATTGCAAAAACTACTTGTGTCGTGTCGTATCTATGACAAATTATTTTTCTATAGATAGCTGTCATATTTAGTAGTATCAAAAAGAAAAAAACAGCTCGAAACTGCATAGTTGCTGCGATTTTGCACGTAAAAATAGCTGAATTGGAGGGTTCAGTTAAAAAGATATTTTGCCTAAGATGAACGTACTTTATATCTAATGTATTGAAAAGGCATTACAGACCATTTAATAACGTATATAGTAGCGTTGTTTATTAGAGCGTTATTTTTACCAAATTTAATACTGTTCCACTCATTTTTGGAACTCAAGATATACATACTGATTATTTTATTTTCACGTGAAGCCCACAACAACGACAAAGGACGCCCACGCATTTGTAGGCATTGCATATAAAATAGGATACGCGTAAAATCCTTGTTTCTATGCTAATAGCTGCGATTTAAAAAATTTAGACTACGTCTCTGATAACCGGCGGCACCGGTGAATGTAGTTTTTAGCATTCTCTAGCATCATTGGAGTTGGCAACCATCCAACGCCTTTCCATGGTACCTCAAAACTCTGGTAATTCCTTTTTTGCACACTTCTTCTAAATTTCGGACTCGTGATTCTCCGGTTAAATTTCAGCATACGTTATTGAGAACATCGAATGGAAAAAATGAAATAATAATCTGAGATTTTTAAAGGTCACAGCAATTAAGAATTTGTGTCATTGGAGGTACGCATAAATTCTTAAATCAATTCGATTTAAAAATTACTTTAAAAGGTCAAGCTTATCTTTAGGAAACTAATTACGATCCAATTTACATAATAGGTTTCTTATTAAATAATTTTATAATAAGCCCAAATCGTCAAGCATAACGAAGACTTTAAAGGCTGTTTGCCATACTTTTTGTTCATTTACAATATCGACTTATTATATAATCAAATAACCTCAAAGCAACAGCCTAGTGCCTGTTCTGGTAGTTATAAGACAGCAGTATGTATGATAGGTCCGTTCTTGTTTGCAACTCAGACACTTTAACCTACTCATAACATCTGTTTCTCAGTCTATCAAAGACGCTAGCACGTGACCGCTTTCGTTTGGCTTTTTAAAACCACAAAACTCAAACATTCATTCGAATATGATATAGGTTGAAACATCTTGTACGTATTTATATACTAGATACCTATCATTTTTTTCTCAAGCCTGGAACCAGTAGAGCTACACCAATCAAACTTCTAATTCCGGTTCTATGTTTTATTTCTAATTGCATTGTTCCACTCTTCATTCCATTTTTATTTAGATACGTCCTCATGAACTCTGTTCTAGTGCAAGTATTTGAGTTTGCAATTCCTTATTGGCCCCAATCCCCATTCTTCTTTTGTTTGTCAGCTCTATTATCGCCATATTCCTATCTTTCTAGAACTACCTTCGTAGTATCCGTCTATCGCGATCCGTATCCGCAAAAATGTTCCGAGTTTATTTCCCTCAAATGTAATTTTCGTTCCCCCTTTTCTCTGTATATTATGAGAGTAATCAAGCTTTCCTACGTTTTGGGATCCTCATCGGGTGTCGGTGTCAGACTTTGGTGCCTGAGTGACTCTGATTTCCTTTTTGCTACGTTGCGATTTCGTTAGCGCGTCTTGGTAGATTCTGCAATCCATACACGTATTTTACCATTAGATCTTGCTGATATTTGTAACCCCCAGTGATTCACGAGATATTGTTATCTCCATTCTCCTTTGGTATCTCTATTTGACGCTCTAACTCTCTACCGTGGCGCCATATGATTCACATCCTTCACTGGTATACTTCTGTCGTATGATTTGATATACCTTAATGATTTTATGTGGTTCTATTGATTGCAGGCGCTCTTTTCTCATTTGATCCAGTTTCTTTCGATAACCTTTCGTGGTGCCATGTGATTGCGTTCTACACTGACGCTTTCATCCCACGTGGTCGGGTTCGTTCCGGTGATTTCTCATGACGCGTTTTGATTTCTTCGTTTTCACTAGCGTGTTCACCTTAATCAAACCGCGTGCTACCAAAAAGGAGGAAACAATTTTATTTAAATTATAGGCGGCCGTAGCATAATTGCTGCGAGCCTCGCGACTGCACCGCGCAGACTGTTTTAAGCGGTAACCGTTTCTCTACTCAGCATCTATTTACGGTTCATATTTTACTATTTACATATATGCTTAATAATAATTTAATATTATGGCTTTTATCTCATTAAATTGTCTTATTCACTGTTTGAGTTGCAAGATTAAGTCTGCTTCTGACATAATACCATTCGTGAAAAAATTATGAGTTGTCTGCAGCAAAAGTCTGTGTTCAGTATTATATTTTTGGCTAGAAATAGTTCTGAAGTGGACATATGGGCTACAAATTAGGATGATATTGAGCCGATTACCTTGACATTAATTTATTAGGGCTTGGATGGTTCTTGAAATACCGAAAGGCTAAGTATGAGAAATGCCCATTTTCTACACTGAAAACGAGCTGTAGGCCTCATTGGTGTCCGGTGATATGCCGATTCGGCACTTGCAGATGGAAACGTAGAAGCAAATCATCATCTAGGAAAGCTTGCTTTTTGCGCTAGGCGCACGTATCTTCTAGTAATTCCTTATTTTTGCTTAAAGTTGACAAAAGTCCTTACAGTTTACTGTTAGTTTTTTCTTTTAAAAAATTGACAGCGTTCCGTCTTACATAACCTCTGGTAACATACTGCTTGAAATACAGCACTAGGTTTGTTTTGACCTCAAATTTTTCTTTTGTGAATAATGAAATGCCTTTACTGGTGTATCAGGGTTTTACATTTAAATTCAGATCTTATACTTACCGACCGTTCGTTTAATTAAACGTTCCTGGAATCTTTATTTCTGTATGGACACCCAGAGTTGCAATCTGCATTTGCAAGCAAGTATGACATTTAATGTGGCTGTCCCATCGTTTTACCCCCCCCCCCCCAAGCGAAATGCTTTACAAGCATTTCCTTGCGGTGACGTCATTTCCGACATGTTTTATGCCGACGCCAAGTCTTCATAAGAAAGCAGGACACAAAGGAACCTTAAAATTCGGCGAATATTCACTCCAGCGCCGTCGCTGAAGTTAAGCATTAGATGTGGGTGCTAGGAATTAGTAGGAAGAAACTAAAAATCTTTAGGATGCACAAATGCATGCCAAGAAAAAGCTTTCCCGCATCCAACCGAATTTGAATACTTTATAAATGGCGTAACCTTGAATGCAAAACTTATTTCTTTTGGAGAATACGCAGTGGTTCGCTTCGGTTCATTCTTCAACTAAATGAACTGGAAAAATAGTATTTTTGTATCTAACAATATCTTACAGATAATTTTCCCTTGCTTGCTCTCGACCAAAAAACACCTGCCTACAAAATGAGGAACTGTTTATTAATGAATGCTTTCTGTTTATTAACCCTTTCTGTTTCCGAATGCTTATTAACGAATCCCATATATCGAACAAGCGACTATACAACGACACGTTCAGCCGGCGTCTCCTGCCTTTTGGAATGAGCTTGCTCCCACAGAACGTGCATGAGTGTGAGATATTTTTCTCCATAATATCAGGCGCATGCTCCTATAGAACGTCGATTCCGGAATTTTTATTTCCCAAAGCTTTACTTCACCCCTTATGAAATGGCTTTGAAAACGTTCGCAATCGTTCTACTACGACAAACTTTGCTGACAAATTTATAATCCTTTGGCTTATACCTTCTTGAGTCTTTCTCGAATGTGCGCAACGATGAAATTTTATACCATAAAAATAGAAACATAAACATAGGAAAGCATTTAAATACACCCTAGAGTGACTCAAATCTTAACATTATGATTTAGTAAGAAAACAAAATATTGCAACCTGTCTGCGCAGTGTGAGTGAGCATACTGTTCACAGCTTCTTTATGCTCTAGTCTAGGCCACCTTCCTTATTCCCAAAATTCTCTGTATGATCTCCAGCTGGACGTTGAACTGTCTGGCTCGCTATTCAAATAAACGATTCTTTCCTCGCGTTTCCGAAAAGAGGCTCGGTAGACGTTCTGGTTGTAACTGTTTCACCCTCAGCACTTATAATTTCTTTAAATTCCTACTGAACTTTAAAAATTTCGTCACCTGACATTTCATTACCATCAGGTTGGACAATATTTTGTAAAATGTGTTATGTAAATCGGCTTATTTACTTGAAACTCCCTTTACTATACATTAGCGCAGTAATAGGCTTTGTTTAATTATACAGAATTATTAGGCTATCTTGGCGTGCTTTATTTATTCATTGCTACAAAACTCTGAACTGCAGTCGTTCGATTTCCGCATAGAGCACTTCCTCTGATTGCGTTATAGTTTGTAGTAAATGTATTAAGTGTTATGTACTCTATTACCGTTAAGTACTGTCTCAGACGGCCAATTGCCAGCGCAAGGCAAAGTGTCTTGCGGCCGGTTTCGAATTTTTCCTTCAAGTAGATACGGGTAAATCATTTACAGACAGCCTGATATACCTATACTCATTTTGCCTAATGGCCTAGTGTGGAAACATTATTAAACTCATAAAACACTCACACCCTGATGATGTCAAGGGTTTCGCAATCCTCCGCAGGACCCTTATAGGGTTCGGAATACTTATATTATTTGCAAACCTGGAAAAAGGCTTAACTTGGCAAACATATGTCTGCGCTTCTTCCGCTTCAGGGTCCGTCTGAAACCCTCCAAGTCATCGTCGTACGTATTTTAGCTTGTTTTTCTTTCGCATGACGCACAGCCATGTCAGCGACCCATAAATCTCCTAACCTCACTATGTTTCTCACAGTTTTCCTGGTCGTCGTCCACTGCAGGGGCCTGTGCGCAACTAGTATAACGCGTGAAAAACTATATGATCAGCCCAGTCTTCCTTTGCAACTTAATAAAGAACACACATAGGCATCCATGTTCCTGATCCTCGCCACGTATTTGTGAAACTGGCCGTAATCACAACTTTAGTGACATTATACTTGAGTTCTTCGTATAGCCTCTTATATAATGTGGCGTCCACGTCCCTAGTCTATATCGGAGCGTATTCCACGCCGATTAGTTTTGTCTTATTCTTAACGGAGCCTTCCGTGATGTTGTCCAGTTGTTTATAAAGGTAGCAGTCAGCTTTTTCATTAGCTAGGAAATTTTAGAGCAACATTTTGGCAAACACTAGTATGGCTTCAGTAGAGACGGTGTGATACACTTGGGCTAGTCTCGTTGCTACTGCTTTTTTGCGTAGAGTCCGCCTATAGCTCGGTCTCTTCGGCAAGGGCTATTGACAACCCAGGAACAACGTAGACCGTGGATCTGGACTATTTTACGTGTCATAATGTTTCATAAGCAAATAAGGACTCGCAGTTTATCCTGGCATAAAGTTCTGCTGCGTTACTGGTATCACAAACTATGGATACTTGGGTCTCCTTTTCCTTTATGAAGCGCCTAAAAACGGCTCTGCGTTTTACAACTAGTTGGTTTAATTCGCTTTTGAAAAGCCTAATTTACACACATTCCCTGACAATTCAAATAGCTCTTGTCACAGAGTTCCATTCGTCACACACTACGCAATCCGCCTTTTTCGTGTCTCAAGTAGTGATTTTTTCCCTGCTATGCCCGTAACCACGCGTATCACCTATCCTATTCTTTTCAACTCTAACATAACTCCGTCTTCATTCCTGATTTGATGATAAATTTTCTGAAACGACTGCCTTTTGCCCCATGCGTTTACCCTTAGCCCACCATAGTATTAATATTGTTGACTCAGTTATCACACTGTATGATATTATCCGTTGGCTTAAACTTTTATTCATAACTCGTCAGTACTGACTAGGCGCACGGTGTATTTGTCGTATGCTGTATTCTTCATTCTAACTTACATTTGTCGCCATTAAACAGAAACCAACTTTGCTCCCCTCAGAGATCAACACTGCTGATTTATTACTCGATCAGACAACGTACTTTTGAGCCCTTTCCGAGCATCGGCTGAAACCCGTTTGATTTATATCTGGTACTACGCGGTTCCATGGTTTTGTGTGATCGCTATCCGTTAATACAATACGTTTGCAACTACTGTTATCCATTTGATTCATCTTTCAGCCTGATAGGTTTTGTCATGAACTCGAAGATTATTGTCCAGCTGTCTTCTTTTTAGAGCATTTACTATGACTTCAAGCTCAAGTGGAGGCTGTATTTCTTTTAGTGTCTGAAGGTCCGGTGTATAAGCTACCTCATCGCACACCTCAACGTCGGATATAATATGTAAATCAGTCAATTCTATGAAAATACTTTTAGAAGCGTCTGTGACTCGTCAGGATATGCGGTCTCCAGTTCTATTTATCCGAAGAGTGAGCACGTACTGTGAGATCCTTAGCTGACGCTTACTCTTACCTGGTATCATAGCTTTTAATCCCTGAAATCCGCCTCTGAGGCAAGTAGCTTCTAACTGCACCAGGTCCTTTGACGACAAGCACAATAAGGTACCATTATTGAGGTTAATAGCTGTTTATCTGATTAACGTGTCGTGTTATAGGTTTGTTGGAGAAAACCCATATATCCAGCAAGACTCATTCCGGATAAACTCGGGAGAGGTCCTTGATACTATATTGAAAATAAATGATTCCTAATGCTTGTTATGTCACATGAATTAAATATATCTAAAACATTTTTAAAAAGAGCCTTGCCTGCATCACAATAGTGGCTTGATGTTTGACTCCGTCTTCGAGTGATCTACGTCAAATCGCTACGTTTTTACAGAAAAAGCCGCTTTTGCACCTACGTACGTTAAGTGTCCCCGAAATCCAATGCCGACGGCACTTTTGGCTTCCATAACTTACGTGTTTTATTGCTTGACCTATTCTCAGGCTTAGTCCTATTGCTTAAAGCTTATCCTTACCGCGCATCCGACCCTTCCTGTCAACCTTGTTTTACGCCATCCATCACCAGACATTTTTTCGCCCACAAAATTTTCTTCTACAATGTCAGGTTGACGAACCACTAAGCCGCCGTTATTCCATCACTAGTCACTTGTTTAAGCATTATTTTTCGAAACTATACGCCGCATTGATTTTGTACGGAGCATTAATCATAACTTCGTCATATTTGCGGTTTGTGAGAGGTGCATTTACTAAGTCGAGTAGGGCGGCTTTCTCTAAATTCGAATTCTTTATTATTTTATTCAAAATTTCGTTTAAATACAATGCATATTTGAAATGATGGTATGTAATTATACAATACAGCAATGCAAAAACGATGTACTACATAAATTATTATGTGGTAGTCAAAATATAAAAGCATGCTGTGTAAAACATTAACAAAAAAAGACTCAAGATGCCTTGCAAAAGACTGTTCCTTTCGAAATTGAATTTAGAAGGTTGTAATGAAGTTAAGCGGCCAGGCTATTACCACTGATTTGCGCAAGTATGTTTATAAATTTTGTTTTTTTTTTAAAAAATATGGCTATTTGTGTAATGCTGGCAACGTTGTGTCGAAGTGAGTCACCGTCACACTACGATCCATGCGATGCAAATGCATTAGGTTGTCCGCACCTGTTTAGCCCGTAAAAAAACTGAAATATTTTTCAGCTGTATAAAGTCGAACCAGGATATTTAGGTACATACTAGCTATACTCTCCTTTATTATGCACATGCTGAAGTTTTGCTTCGGGTGCGTATTACCATACCATACGATGGCTGGTTTTGGAAAATTGATAGGAAGATACACTACATCATTTAATGTATTTTTCGGCATACCAATAATTTTAAAAAGCTGTTAATGTTACATTCCCGTGCACGGAAAACTCACGTGTAGAGCCGTACAATGCATTTCTCACATCGACCTTAACTGCTTGCACAGCCACTAAATAACCCTGGTACCCTAGACCGTAGGTGGTAGAACACCGTGTGCTTAGATACAAAACGCGTCTCGCTGCTCGAAAGCCAGGCAGAGTTCGTTCTGGCTTAAAGCTACGGAGAAATTTTATAAGACCTGTTCAAATGCGCCAACGACAAGTTCAAAGAGAGACGCAAGGTCAAACTCTTTGCCACTTTATTTCTCTTGCCTCAAACCCTTAAAATTTTGAGCCCCTAAAGCCTTTCACGTCTGACTAGTACAGTGATTTACAAGGCTGGACTGTTTAGTTCTTCTAGATGTCCCAAAAACCCATCTTCGAGTTAATATGGATTCAAGGAGCAGCATATTTGCTATACAAACATTCATGTTGGTGGTTAGAAGGTTTCTCATGCAAGGGTAAGACCTCAAAGCCTCCGGTATCATAAACGGCATCGTCAAGCTTTCCAATCATAAAGCTTGGGGTTTTGACGGTGTATTAGATAAACACATAAATAGCGGCAGTCTTGCCAATATTCTGTAGGACTGCCTTATTTCAAGTTTGTATGAGCGGCCAAAGATACTAGTAGTATGAAATGATTATACTATATTCGCAGTCCCGAAAGCGAAGGGGGAAGAGCCCAGAGACTTGAAGTTCTGGAGAGAGACTGCGGGGAAGAGCCTTATTTGCAAACCTCGATCAAGCATCTTCGTGCGACAGCTAACTTCATTCCTCTAATATCGCGAGGCATTGACAAGTAAATAACATCGGTTCTGTGTAAATAAATCAACGATGAGAGCGTATAAGATTCTTTCAGATAAATAAAGAAAACGCTGGGTCGACCCAACCGATTTCTCGACTCGATTTTCATACACGTGAACAGTGTTTGATTCAGGCTTGAGAACCATAGCATCGACAGTTCTGGCAATATTAGGGACGCTTCTAAAACCTTAGGGGCTACTGAAATATATCCCTTAGAATAACCTCATCATTGACGACGATATTACAGTAAATATTGATGTTAAATAAACGGCAGAATTAGTACAGGAAACCGACCTCAGCCCGTTTCCCTTCACGCTTCTCATTGAAGATAGCTCCTCACGCACTAAGCAACGGCATCCCCTCTTGTGTCGCATGTGAACGACCTAATTCTGCATAGCACAGGCAGATTCTACGCGCAATGGGCCTTAGTAATCGTGAACAATGTTTTGCTAAGTTTCGATTCCAATTCACAAGGATAAAACAAAGGCAATGAGGTCTAGAAGAGCTGCCAAGGAAAAAGGCGCAAGACTGTTAAAAATTGACCGCTTTATAAATAGCTTCTCTCAACTTTCAAACATCACAACTTGTTAGACATCAGTCTTTTTCTTGTACCGGAAATACGTTCCTGTGACATTCTTTACTTTAACACATATTTCGATAAATACGACGGTGTAAGTAAAACGACATCGGACACAAAGAAGTTCAGAAAAATGCGTAAAGATGCCTTACCTAGCTACATTTATTCTTATTTTTTTTTATATTATATTATTATTATATTATATATTATAAGCTTAATAGGTGTCAAGATTTAGAGACAAATAGAACATTCGAATTTCAAAATAAACACAGAATAAGTTTAATTAAATAAGCCTTTTATTGATAAGGCAAAAACTTAAAATGGCTGAAAAAGGTTGAGATGCCTTTCTTCGATACGATTTGTAGGTAAGCCATAGGGAAAATGCCCACTATCTTCTGATGTGTGAGTTTGCAATCGTATCTTAACTAATCCATCGCGGCTGATGATTGAATCCGTCTTTAGCGCACGAATGCACAAATTTAAACGTTCCTTAGCTTTGGAAGCCCAGCTTTATATCTTGTAATAGTTTGCATGAAATTGGGCTCGCAGTAAAAAAAAATAAACATATTACCGGCAAGCAGAACCACTTTCACAAAAGTGAGAATCGCACAAATAAATTGCCTTGTGGGGCACCAACATGCACGTTCACTGTCCAGGATGTATAATCATTAATGACGACATACTGGATCCGTTCTGGCATGAAACTAAGTATCATCAAACTTATACCAGTTTCTGGAGTAGTTTTTCCACCGGGTGCACTAAATTATCAAATAAAAATGCTAAAGACTGGTTTTCACCATATATCGCCATTTGAGTTTGTCTGTTAGTTAATGTCATGAATAGAGATGTCCCACGTTTTTCTACAGCCGTGCTGTCTAGTCTACTCCATAGACTTGGAAGACGATTTAATTTGGTAAAAAAAAAACTAGTGTATCACTGTGTGCTACACTAAAAATTACTACCCACTAAACTCGATCATAGTATTTACACTTATGAGGTTAATGCTATAGTCTGCTGCTTTTTGGTAGCAAAATGGAGAAAGTCCTTGTGAAAGCTTAGTGGGTAACGCATTTGCCGACTAATCCGAGCATAGATAGACTTCCTTTCATGTTGGGCATGAAAGATAAAGGATAATGGAAGAAGCCTGTCTATATTTTGACATTGGCGTTTGACACTACCGTTAGGCTTTCGATGAGTTTATATCCGGATTGAACCTGAAATTAGCAAGCAAATATGTTACCCCTTGATCCCAGGTGGTCCTGAGCCGGCCCAAATTGTCGACGTAGTGTAATAAAAAAAACGTATACGCTTCCGGTCGGATTACAAAGGTTCAGCTTTACCCTTAACAGTAATACGCTAGGGACGGTGTACGCAGTATTTGAGTTTAACGTCGTAGTATTGCGCATCCAATACATCAAAAACCCTAAATCTATAGAAAGTTCTTGGGTTTAGGAAGTTTGGCGATTTGCACCTACGCACCATGTTGTTGATCACTTTTCAAAAAAGCGCTACCTTCGAATCTATTTTTAATCAGTTTGGAGCAGTAATATAATAATTTAGACGTCATTGATATCATTGTGTAACTACTGCATCACTGGATCAGTAGGCGTCTTTGCGGAGTTTAACATAGCAAGCTCTAAATATGGCTCTTTAAATAATCTGAGAGCAGTGGCTCACAATGAGATATGGTACATTATAACGGTGAATGAAAAGCCTTCGCGTATACTTATTTTAATAGGCAGCACTAGTGTCAAGATCAGGGTGCAATTAACATCATTTGAAGTCTGTGTGAAGCTGCACTCTTTGACCTTTAATCAATCTGGTGGTCTGTAAAATAAATATGTAAGATGCCAGAAAGGGTGAACGGTGATCATCGAAGACCTCACAGTAGCTACCGAAAGATTCGTCCATACATGATCGATCCTGTGAAGCTATGAGCTCATTAAGAGAGCGCTGTTAACATGAGTAGATAAACCGAACGATATCATACATTTTAATGATGACAGCTCTTTAACACATAGAATAACCTTAGGTAAGAATTTTTACAGTGACGTTTCCACACATTTGAGCCACTCGGTAACCGATTCGGAGAATGATCTATAGGTAAAGCCAAAGGCTTGTTTTCTACTAACAGGAGCGGAAACCTCAATTCACATAATTTTAATGGAATGCTCATCTAGAAGCTGAACACTAAACTGGGAACTTTTTTTCTCAAAGTACTTCCAACAAGATTTAGAAAAATTATATAACACAGATTTCTGCTATAGTTCAATATAATAGTTCGAATCCCATGTATAGCATGAAGTTTTAGTAATTTTTTAGAGTTTGATCTACCGTGGAGACGAGTTTCGGAAAAAATAGCGAAAAGGAGGGCATATCTAGTGCTAAACGAGCATCGCTCATATAAGATTGGAGTACACTTTCATTACAGTCTTATTAACACCGTACTTGTAGTAATAATTCTAGTTATTCACAAACACGTGCCATGATAACTTACTAGACTAACACGAGAAAATGTCCCTCCTTTCCAGCCACATAATATAAACTGGCCGCGTCGGACGGCTAATCAGAGCTAGCTTCTAATCCAGTGGTTTTTGAAAGTGGACGAGAACCCTCTACAATGTAGTTGTTGCTTATACACGTCGTGAAAGTTTGTGTACGACGTCGACATCTCTAGTGTTGACCTGTTAAATATGTATTTTAATGGCTCACCATTTTCTTTATTTTAGTTATCGATACGCATAAGATAATGATATCAGTTTGCACGTTTTGACAAATATATAGCAAAGCGCACGAGCATATTCAGCAGTATCATTCCGGAATTCCTAGGGGAGCTCTCTCTCGGATAACATCCGAGTACTCTCAATGAAGAAGCATTTTACATCGACTGCACAACTGCGTTCTTTTTGCATGTTATCTAGGCCTTTGTCCCTGTAGA